CAACTTATTGATCGACATTCAGCACTACAAACGTCGCATAAGGAAGATTCCGACCGCATTCCATTCACTCTCACGTTTCACCCTCACAACCACTCAGTTAAATCCATCATTCTTAAAAACTTTAAATTACTTCAAAACGATCCAGAGACAAGCACTATCTTTTCGCAGCCTCCGCTCATTTCATTCAAACGCGACAAAAACATAGGCAATTTTTTGGTCAGAAGTTCTTTTCAGACTAATGACCAACCAGGCACTTTTAAATGCGCTCGTGCACGATGCAAAACGTGTCCTTTCATTCACAACACTGATAAAATATCGGGACCTAAACGATCCATTAAGATCACCGATCACTTCACGTGCACCTCCGCCAATGTAATCTATTGCATAACTTGCACTTATTGCAAAAAGATATACATCGGCGAAACAGGCAGAAGACTAGGTGACCGATTCCGAGAACACCTTCGAGACGTGGAAAGGAATGACAAGGACACATCGAAACCAGTCGCTAGACATTTTAATTTACCTAATCATTCTAAGCAACATATGGCAATCTGCGGTCTTTCCTTGCACTTAGGTGGCACGGAAAGCCGTAAAAATCTTGAACAAAAGCTCATCTTTCAAACCGGCAGTCTAAATCCCACAGGGATCAATGAACGCTTTTCATTCCACTAATTTATTCATGTTTTTCTCGTTGCCATGCACCCACCAATAACGTAGCTCCATTTTCTGCCTTTAAAAGCACACACAACCCACAATTCCTCTATTCGCTCCGACGAAGGGCTAACGCTCGAAACGTCAGCTTTTGTAATCATTACGGTGGCCAATTTACCATTTCAACTTTGTTGATATATCCAAATTATTTCGTTACTCCCACCGACGCAGCCCCAAACAGTTTCTTTCGAAACTATCAACTTTTATTCATTTGTAGTTTAGGAATAGTTCGTTATATTATAGCTATATTTATATATTCAATATGTTTTATTGTTGTTTTCATATTAATTTACTTGTAATTCATAGATCATATTTATATCAAGAGTTTTAACCGATTGTTGTTCATTACTTAGTGCCATTGTTTTTGAAATTACTATTGTTATTTTTTGATATTTTAAAACTCCTAGTATAGTTTTTTTTGCTGTCTTAGGAGTATACTTATTAAAGATTAAAGATTAAAGATCGCAGCAGAAACGAAGAACATTATAAGTAGGTTATGGATCTTTCTTTAGTAGAATCATCAATGAACTGATCTCGCGAGGAGAAGTAACATATTTCAATCAGACTCAGATGTAAGTATAGAGGCAAGACCAATACAACGTAGATAAGTTTTAAGACGGAGCACTATATTTCGCCTGGCCAAACCAGCCTTCTTCAGGTGCAGTGGGAATTGACATAGAATTAAGGTGGCACTTTAGATAGCTGTATGATGCCATAGGGCAAATACGTAAACCTTATTCCCACTGCACCTGAAGAAGGCTGGTTTGGCCAGCCGAAATATAATGCTCCGTCTTAAAACTTATCTACGTTATATTGGCCTTGCACCGATATTTATATTCGTTGTTTTGGGCCGATTAGATCACTGCTGATCCAACGTACAAGAGTAGGATTATCGTCCACGGTTGCTTGCTGAACAATGATTTCTCAGATGTAAGGTTTTCAACCCTTAAACTCCCATGATCCCATTAATAACTCTCCCCACTATCTGCCATACAATTCTTGTGATGTTTTTTGGAGAATTTAGTAATCGATCACCTGATAATCCCTCATTTGCTATTTCTCATCACTTCAGTATCTGCTTGATATTGTATCGATATTGTACTGAAGGAGAAATTCTGCCTTGGTCACTCATGGGAATTAAAGGCCGGTCATAAGAAAGTTATTTCAATGGGAACGCTTCTCCATCTATATTTTAGGCACACGTTTCCCAAGCACTGTTTAGGGGGGGTGGGTATAGGGTGGCTGAGTCACTCGCACCAACTGTGGGCTCAAATGCCTCCGCTGCCCAATGCGAAAGGCGGGAAAAGTGCATAGTGCTCCAATTGGATTGAACTTTTAAGATGGTTTAAGTTTTTTTTAATTTATCATGCACTTGTGGTTTAATTAGTCAACAAATCGTACGCAGCTGCAGCGCTACACTTCTAACAGCTACAGTCAGTATTTCAGTGCTGGCCTGACCTCTCAAAATCAAAAGCAAGAAATGCTTTCTGAGCGGAAGACGAATAAAGGAGACGAAAACAGCCATTGAAATTGGGCTTAAAACCAATACAGGAACTGCTTTTGTGTTAGGCAAAAGAAAACAACTGAATAAACTTGCCGTGATCACTCGTCAAAAATGTACCTGAAGAGAGATTTTGAAATTTATCTTTAAATCTATTCAACATTTTCTAATCTATTGATTTGGCAGCTTAAAGTTGCCAAATCAATAGATACGAGGATATCGACTACCGTCAACACAAGCGAAGGAATACTGCTTTTTACATCGGTCAGGTCGAATTAATATTTTTAGCAGCCTTGTTTCAAGGTTCCTCTCTCTTTTCAATGGGAGGAGAAAGAGGACTCCTGGAGACGCGCTGGAAATGATGCCGGGATAATGTAAAACACATTTAAAAAAATTCTTTTCATATTACAGTTCAACAAGAGATAAATTCTGTAGCGTGAATAGAGTCAACAGTTGCACTGCTTTTCTTTCTTGCAT